TGTCCAGATTAGAAACGTGCGAGGCGTGCTTTTGTCATGCCAAGCTACTTGGTCACCATTTAATTCATCGCACTTATATATAATATATAGATACAAAAAGAAGCAATAAACAATGTATATATAATACTTGTATATGTATTATATGTTACCGTGAAAGACCAAAATTGGAGAACATCAAGATTCGCATGGTCGGTTGTTAACACATGCTAAATACATCGATGAAAGATTAAATATTCGGGTTTATATATCGAATATAAGCCAAGCGACCATGCAAATTTTGACATTATCCAATTTGGTCTTTCACGGTAACATATATACTACTTACGTATTTATGTATACTAGAGAAACAGAGAAGGATAGAGGTATCCTGACTTATCTTGAGAGATCCTTTCGAATACGACCACTTTGCAGGCTCCCACGCTTCCTCCTTCCTTTCCACATGTGATCTTTATTACGCTTTTATTAAAGCCAACTTTTCTAGCACTTTATTCTCGAGCACGTGGGAAATTATGCGATACGCTTTGTAGCACGACGCCGCGTTTGGAAAAAAATGTGCTTTCACAGGCGAGCGCCAATACGACAAACTCGACCCACGTGTCTCTGTGCTTGAAAAGAAGAAAAATGAAAAAAGAAAAAAAAAAAGAAAAGAAAAGAAAAGAAAAGAAAAAAAAATAGATGGAAAAGGATGGTATAGGGAGTCCACAAGTGAAAAGCTCGAAAAGCGTGAAAAAGGGATGGAGGAAATGAGAAAAAGGAATGGAAAATGCTTTCACTGAGTTGCTGGTGTTCTTCTCTCTTCAATCCGGTGTTTCCGAACGCACTCGGAGAAAACTGCCTTCTATTATTGCTCGCCGTGTGGCACCTGGGTCCTTCTCCTTTGACCAGTCTTCTCTCTTTTATTCCCTTCCTTTCTCTTCTCCTTCACGTTTATTTCCGTTTCTTCTTCTCCTTTTCTTTTCTTTTCTTTTTTTGTCCTTTTTCCTCTTAAAATCTGTCGCGAGCACAAAGGACCAACGCAAATCTCGCTAGATCGGATCGATATCTTGTAGAAACAGTGAGCCACCGTCGGCCAATTTCGCAGGGACATTTTGCGATTTTTCACTTGGCATGTCGACCTTCGTAATCCTATTCTCGATCTAACGACGAGCTTGCACCTTTTCCTACAGAGAATAAGAGTATGAAACCGTTTGTATGAAAGGAAAAATGTCGACGTCAGGCTGGACTTCTCTCCTTCCTTAGGAGGAATGTATAAAGGGCCACAAAGGAACAGTACTTGTTACGAATCCTGCCGTATCTTTCTTTTCGAACTTAAAATATATTGTTATGTTTCATAGGATTTTCTTTCCGTTAGATCGGGATATACAAATGAGGGATGAATGTTATGATGTAGTTCAATTCGTTCATTTTCAACCGAATTAGATTTATTCATTCTTTTTTCTTCTTTTCTTTCTTTCTCTTTCTCTTGTATTTATCTAATAAGCAGCAGGGTAGAGATAAATTAATACCTGTTTATTAATTTACATTGAATAATAATTTGATTAATGATTATTATCATTAATTTTCTATCTAAATGCGAACGATTTATTTTACCCAAATAATCTTCATCCAGAAATAATTCAATTAATCGTAACCACAATGAGAGAATGTAATGAAATTATTTATCCGTGATAAATACGCGTCTACGTGTGTGTATATATTCAGTACGAATAATATATATTATAGAAAAAAGATAACAAATATAGTTATTTCCTAAAACTGATTACGCTCCTCGACGTTCATAATAAAATTTCATATCTCCGGGCAAGAATATACGATCGACGTTGGAGGACTAATGAAATACCTTGGTAGCAATGATGCCGACGCCGATGTCGATGCATAGTTTGTAGAATATCGATCTATGCTTTATGATTAGAAATTTTGATGAAAAATAGAGTCGTGAAACTTTAGTGCCGTTGTTCAAACGTTTACCTTCAAAGAAGAGAGACCGATCGGTTCGTCGTTTGATCGTAGCAAAAGGATATGAAAGCATGCTCTTGAATTCTTGAATATCACGGAAATTAGTCTCGTACTACGTCATTTTGGAAAATGTGTGTACTAGGTAAAAGTCGTCGATCTCATCGTACATCAATTTCTAAGAAACTATCGATCTTAAGAAAAAAAATCTCAAAATTAATTTTCTAATATAATTACAATCGATCTGATACATTTCATTTCAATATACTATATTATGTTTATTAATAAACGATGCAAATAATGAATCATTTTTCATTGCATTTCTGCTACGTTCAATTCTTTTTTTTTTTTTTTTTTATACGAATTGATACGTGTTTATATAAATGAATAAATATCATATCCATACGGAACGTCGAACTTGGACGACGTGTATGTATTTATTTGATCATCTTTCTTTTTTGTTTGTTACATTGGCTCGCCAAACCAATTACTTAAATTTCTCTAGGTCAGTAAGTTTTGCGAAAAGCTTTAACGTCGGGACAGTTTTTTACGCCTACCTTGAAAGGTGTTTTTTAAGAAATTATATGGGTCAGTGGTTCGTTTTGTCGACGACCTACATCTAAGAGGCATGCATATGGAAAGAAAAAACTTGTACAGTTTCGCAATGACGGACAAGTAGGTACGTACACATACTGGAGGAGGAGAAAAAGTGCGGACACCGTTAAAAAAAAGTACAATGTAGGAGGATATAAAGCAAAGTGTTTCTTTTTTCTTTCTCTTATTTTTTCTTTTTCTTCTTCTTCTTCTTTTTTCGTGTAACAACACAGGGCGAAATCTCGGCGCAACATCGCATCGTAAACTGCGTACAAAGTTAAAAAGTAAAAGAATGAACAAGATAAGGTGGAAAAATAAAAAAAAGAAAAATGAGAAACAAAATAAAAAGACAAGAAAAAATTGAAAGGAGACAAAAGTCGTTGTGACTGCACGCTAGTTAATAGTTAAGTACTGAATTTTAACGTGAAAGTACAACCATTCTAAGAGATATCCACACCGTGGGGTGCCATATGGTTGAACAAGGCAAAACAGTTCTTAAAATGGCGCTCGTAAATTCTCGTAAACGCGCTCGCAAATTTATATTCTGCGACAGCAAAGTATGGTAGCAGTGGTGGTGATATCATCCCCCGGAGTGGTGTGCAGTTATCCTTGTACGCGGTAAAATTACATAATCTTTGGTATCGAACCACGCGTGTTCACTTCACCAAACGAGAAATCTCGAAAATCGTCGGACTCGAAAAAAAACAACTTTTAGTTACGAAACTAATTATAATGATCATTAAGAAAAAGTTGGAGATTATGCTAGATAGGAAAAAAGAGCAATTTTTTCCTTCGTCCTTTCTTTTCCCATTTTTCTTTTCTTTTCTTTCTACCTTTTCGTTTTTCACTTCCTTTTTCTTCTTTCTTTTTCAACTTTCATCGTGGAATTAAAGAAGCATCGTTTCTATTGAGCCCATAGAGCGAAGAAACATGAATTATTAATGAAAGTTGAAAACATCCAGGACCGTAGATGCAAAAAGGGGGTGCCTGTTTAAATAGTACGGAATTAATTTAAATAGTACCCTGCCACCCTTTGTCACCCTTCCCAGTCTCATTTCATCTCACATCTCGCGTAACTCGTGCTTCTTTGTGGAAATTAATGCAAAGGGTTGCAATTGAATTTAATCATCCTTTATTGATTCCACCGAGGCCTCGATTTAAGTCTGTAGGGTAAAAGATAACGAAGGCCAAATATCAACGAGGGTAGTATTCTACGAGGGGACGCGAAAGAAAATTGAAAAGCTTTATGAAGGAGGGGGAGTCGAAGAATTGAGATGGAAAAAATCTTTCTTAAAATATCGAATCATCCCTTATCCAAATTGCTTATAAACCAACAAATAAACTTAGTCCGATTTCAATTTTCGTTGAAAACGAAATCACAAAATAATACATATATACGTGTGTGTCTCATTAATATTAGATAAATAATTATACGTCAATGCTAATCGCATAATTAGCGTAATAACTAATGAAATCGTTCGTCAGATTAATATTCGTTTATGCTTTTACAATGACCAATAAACACTGAATGTCTAAACAAGTGGCAAAAGTGCAAACAAAGTTTACCAACAGAAGCGAACGTCAAGCTAATACTCTGCTGGCCAGCACGCGTTACGAGTCTAAATGTGGCTTTGCAAACACGATGACGTTGTTACGAGAACGAGTGTGGGAGGAGGAAGAGGAGGAGTTGCTGGTTAACAGTGTGAATGTAGGGAATCGGTTAACAGCGAGGGAACGTAGTTACGAGCACTGGCAAAAGCGCACATGCGCATCTATGAAAGAAAGAGAGAGAGAGAGAGAGAGAGAAGAGAAGGCTGTATATATACATATATATTATATACATATCTATATATATATAGAGGGAGGGGGAAGAGATGAAGGGAAGTCGAAAAAAGATGACGACTCTTTCCTGAGGGGTTTAGAGATCCCTGCTCTCATTTATGATCTTATGCAACGTGCGCGCAATGTTATATCTCTCTGGTAGCATGGCGGTGCATATTAAACGTTCACGGTCTCTTATCCGATGTGGCCTGCCAAGGCGAGCGTGATCAGTGTATCTCCTAGAAACTTTTTCGACATGTTATTCCTCTTCCTCGATCCTTTTTTCTTCCCTTTCTTCCTCTTTTCTTCTCGTCATCTTCTTCTTTAACTACTCCCTTCTTCTTCTTCTTTTTTTTCTTTTACTTTACCCTTTTGTTTTTTCTAATGTATCATACATATGACATACCAATGTATACATATAATATATATACCATAGAGATATGCAATGCTCAAATAAAACACGAGTGACAATTGTCATTAGAAAAAACGTTCGGAAAGAAATAGAAAATTAATATTACAAAAAGCGTGAAGTTTAAAATATTTAAATTACAATTTCCCTTACACGTATGCATAATCTATCCAAATAAGAGATGCAAGTGGGGTTAATAGTAATATTACACGTAAAAATAAGTCGGAAAGAAAGAATAACAGTTTTTTCGTTGTGAGACTCCGTTATCGAGAAAATCATGTTTATAAAAAATTCTGTGAAGTACGCATACATCGAAGTTTTCAATTACTTTACCAGCGATAAACATTTTCTTTCGTTTACGCTTTCGTATTCATTGCCCTCGGTAATGTTTACATTCTGCCTTCAACCGCGCGACTTATTTCTCCTATAGTTAGTCTATCTCTAGCAATTGAACTGTGAGAACGAGATAACAATGGAAGCCGATTATTTCAGATAACGATTTTTACATTGCCATAATCGTGACAAAAAGGTAATATTTACGGACATCTCTTATTTATTACAATTCATCTAAATTCAGAGATAGTTCAATGTACACGTACACCAACAAATTTATAAACTCAAATTCTCTCATAAGTCTCAAATAATGAAATGGTTGTTCTTTTTTTTTTTATTATACTTAAGTTTACACGTAAAATTACCTCCAACTGGGTTGTAATATCAATCAAGGCACAATTTTTTGTTTATATTAATTGATCGGGAGAATTGATTCTTATCATTTGAACAATATATTTGAATAATATCACGTGTATATAATATATGTATATATGCGTGAGAGTTAAAAGATATTTTTTTCCCCAGCTTTGCTATTTAAAAGAAAATACAAGGATTTGTTGACTGAATTTCTTGAATTTCTGCTTTCAGACGTGCCAGATCCGCCGGAACGTCCTCTCATAACAAGCTTTACATCCAAATCCGTGAATCTGTCTTGGGCACCTGGCGCTAATTCTCATAACAACCCAATTTCGCACTACGTCATAAACACAAGGTAAGGCCGTCAAATATTTACCTTCCTTAGAAATTTTCACTTTACTGTTGTTATCAGCAAAAGCGACAACGAGAAGACGCGTATCGATGGCGTTATGGAAATTGTTTCTGCTGTTCACGCGAATAAAATGCCGTCGGATTCGCCGGCGATATAACGAGACACATGTCAAGAATTTCAAATGTTACTTCGTTAATCATTTTCAAAGGAGTTTATAATGATAATACCATTAATTCGTTTATTTTATTATATTAACAATAAATCTAGAAGAGTATTCTTTATTAATTTCCGACAGCAAATAAAAATAGAACGAATTTTGAAGTGATCGAGAGAGATAGAAATGAAAAAGAGAAAAGAAAAAACAATAAAAGTATTATCATAACCGTTCGTTAAGATTAATAATAAATTTTCTCACATATATATATAAGATATCCGTTAATAATTTCCGTGAAAGTGTCTAGAAATGTGTCGACGAATAAAAGCAAAGATTATTTCCGTTTAATATAAGAAGAAGAAGAAAAAGGAAAAACTAGGTTATTTCAATTTCTCTTGATCCTAGAGAGAAAATAAAGAGAAAAGAAAAAGGAGAGGGTAAAAGAGCATGGTCAAAAATAGCTGTCTATGGGCGAGTACGTCTCGCTCTGATTATCTTTCAGATACACGCTACGAGTTCGAAGCTTTAACGAAAGAGAAGAACGGAGAAAGAAAACAGATAAAATAAAAGGAGTTACTAGGGATAAGAAGTGCGGTGTCGATAAGCACCCTTTGTTCTCCCAGACTTCTCTTCCAGGCTTCGTTATCTTCTCCCCTGTTTTTTCTTCTTCTTTTTCCTCTTTTCCATCTTCCCGTCTTTCTATTTCTTTTCTTTCTTCATACCCTACGCCTTGCACTTTTTTTTCTTTTTTTATTTTTCCATCTTATTTCTCTATCGCTCTCTACTATTTCTTTTCCTTTCGTTCTTGTTTAGTCCTTTTACGAGTACCGATTTTCCACCGAGAAATTCGCTATCGAAACTTCCGAGTGGCACGCACATATATCGAATGACCGGCTGTGCCGACTGTGCACAATGGGATACACGAGAAGTGTGTAAATTGACGAAAGAAAAGGACGGATGTGTTTAGGGTTGTTAACTCATTCGAATTTTTGTTTCGCGCTCTCAATACGTATCCTAGATACGTTATATAGAAAGTCGAGATTCGAAACTAATTTGCGGCGGCGGCAGCGGTCGTCAGAATTTCAAAGTCCCACGAATTTCTGTCAGCCATGATGGATCTCTTGCCGTAAACTACTTTCCACTGGTTCTAGGGCAGTACGAATCTCGAGAGAAATTCTAAGAGTCCTCTTGAAACACACGCGACCAACTACAACGACTATATTTCTCTTTTGCTGTACTCTCGTTCTGTTTGAGCTTTTTTCGGGCTTACGCTTTTGTTCCCTTGTCTCTTTCCCTCTGTTGCTTGCTTGCTTGCTTGTTTGCTTGTTCACTCGTGTGCGGCCTCGTAAGGGTCTAATCGTAAATCATCCTCCTTCCGACAACCACGAGGTCGACGAGCTATAATCCTGAATCATTTCGAAATTCGATACTACCGAAAGCGTCTCCGCGAAATAGGAGGCTATTCGAGGTTTAGGAGAAAAAAGATAGAAAGAGAGATATTACTATATACATATACATATATATTATATCTTTAATCTCGAAAGAAAAATTATTTCCGTCAAAAGCAACAAGTCAATCAGTACTTTATGCATTTATAGATTTTTCCGAGCGAATGATTAGGCAAATAATGAATAGATGGATAGTTAGGTAGTTGGATAGATGGAAGGGAAAAAGGGAAAGAAAGTAAACGAACGTTCCATTATGAAAATTCCGTCCCGGTACATTTGGCTGGCTCGTGTTATTACGTTAGTCTCGTTTCCCCGTGCAACGTAAAATCCAACAGTATTTTTTATTATGCTTCGCATAAATGGATGAAACCAGTGGATTAAAACGAGAAGATACGAAAAAGAACGAACGCGTTTGCCCTGCCAACGGGAAGAACGGAGTGCCGCAGAGTCTCTCTTTCGGTGCATGAGAGAGACTAAATTAGTGAGGGGGAGGAATAAGGGAAAGGGCAAGAGAAATAGATAAAAACAATGTAATAATAGAACGATCTTTAAACATTTCTCGTCCCGATTCCAATGTACTTAATTACTCGTCCTTTCCATTTGTTTTTTCCCTTTCCTTCCATCTCTTTATTAAATATACAATATTAAAGTTATAAATATGAAAATGTTCGTTAACTATTATCGATCATACTTTATGTTTCATCAAAATTAATGCTACGAATATTCAGTAACACCATTCATTCGCTATAATTTATTCCGTCGAAGGTGGTCAAGAAGAAGAAGAAGAAGAAGAAGAAGAAGTAGAAGAAGTAAGGGAATGAGAATAAAGGAAAGACGAAGAAAAAGATATCTACTCGACGAGACTTGGTGCAGTTAGAATTCTTAATCAAGTTTCTCCTTTTTCCTTCCGTTCTTCGTCACTCTCGTCCTTTCTCCTCTCTACTCTTTTCCTCAATCCTTCTCAAAGTAGACAGAAGCCGCGAGACGAGAAGTTGTAGGAAATAATATATCACGCGATGTCGTTATGGTCGCCGAATATTGAAGTTTCGCCTACGAGCCATTTCGCCCGGGCTCGTGGCAGGCCCTTTCAGAAAACTATCGTAATACCTCATAGAACTTGGAAAATATTAGTTTTATAATAAAGTTCGAAAGGAAGTTCCTAGTACCCCGAACTGGGATACCCTTTCTCTCTGTCTCTCTGTCTTTCTCTCTCTTTTTCTCTTTCTTTATCTTTCTCTCTCTCTCTCTCTCTCTCTCTCTCTCTCTCTCCCTCTCTCTCTCTTTCTCTTTTCATCCCCTTTTCTCGCCCGCGGCTGCCGCAGTAATTGCGTTTGAAGATTATTAATCTTCCTCGTAAATCAACTGCCGTTTTGACATGAAACTTCTCGCAATCCTCCTTGGCGATTTTCGACGAGCAAATCGGAGGAAAGAAAAGCATTCCCGATGGATGTCAAAAGTTTGACAACGAACGTTGGCTACTCTCTCTCATCTCTTTTTCATCGTCAAGCTTAAAATGAAAAATTTCGATAAACCCGAGGAAAATAATAATATGTTGTTCCTTTTAAATTGATAAGATTTCTTTTTATTTCACAAGAAGAGAATATACATTTTGAAGCGCACACTTACATATTATCACCAAATCCGACTGCATTATTGATCTCGGAATTGTATCGCGGCCGACCAATCAATTCTACAGGATAATGCATTCGCAGTAGTTTCCCGTAATCCTCTCTCCGTTTTGTTAAATTTATTAAAGTAGAATTCCAATTTCGCGCTTGACCAACGAGAGGCATACACACACGCGCACACATATGCACACTATCTTTTTCTCTCTTTCTCTCTCTTGCTTTCTCGTTGTACATTCATCGAGTCCAACGAATTGCAAGTTTTAATTACTTCTCTCTCACACGTATCTTAAAGTCCATGAAAATTTTCACGCATAGCAACGACGTATCTCGACTTTTATTCGTGATCGATGGATCAACGTAATCTCGATCGTTCTAATGCTTCGACCACGACCGACCAACAACTTTATTTCTCTATCATCTCTTTCTCTCTGTCTCTCTATTTCTATTTAACACATTTGTTCCCGAATAATTATTTGTTTTTCGCGTATCGTTTTAATTGACTTTTTGGTCGAACGTAGATTTCGGGTTTATCATTTTATTCCGACAAATATAATTCTGACTGCAGTATTCACGGCGTATCGGAAAACTTGATTGAAATATTAATTGTCGTGGAATTTAATTAATATCCCCCAAACTCTCTCTTCGAGCGTGTGGATCTTCGTCCCTTCGATTTAGTAGATTTTCATACATATCTTATTTTTTTAAATTCAGTCTAATATTTGCGAAACAATGAGAATACTTATCTTTAAATCTCGATTACAAGGAGCTAGAAATAAAAAAATAAAAGGAATGATTTGGATTAAACTTGGAATAGAAAGGAAAAAATGAATGAATAAATGAATGAGTGAATGAAATAAAAAGGAAGAAAAGTAGGAAAAAAAGAGAAACGTTATACAATTTATTCGCCTTCGTGAATCGATCTTTGAGATAAAACGACGCGAAATATTCTAACGACACTTCTTTATTTCTTACTTTCTTTCCTTTTTCGTATTTTTCAAAAGCTACCCTCGCAGCTGACGCTGGATTAAATGCCTTGATGCATAAAAAATACCTTAGACTTGAACTTTCATAATCCTGGAACGGAGAACCGATAGATCTTTCTCTTTCTCTCTTTTTTTCTTTTGTATACGTTCTTTTAGTACAATACACAAAAATAATAATCACTTAAGTCGAGCGGTGTACATTTAGCAATCGAACGCGATACAAATAAAGCTGTAATTATCGATATACACCTTCCTTCCATGAGAGAAAGTTCATTTGTAGGAAGATTAATCGATTCGCTTATTTCTGCGCTCTTAATCGACCAAGAACTATTAAAAAAGTATCGACGATATCGATCTAATGATAAGAAGAACAAAAATGATAAGAACACTTTCTATACTTCGAAATTTATCGTGAAAACATTTAACTACTTCTCTCTTTCTCTAACTAAACCTCTATCTGCCTCTTTCTCTCTCTCTCTACATATATATATAAATTTATATTTACGTATATCGAGTATCGTATCTTTCGTAGGTAATTAATTTGCAAAGTTGGCAACGAAGTTGGTTGGCTTTCGTAAGTATATAAATATGTACATACATTTAATGTATATGTATATGGTTTACATAGCACGGTACGTTCGCCGAAACGTCATCTCACCTCGTGTTTTTTAATGAGAATGGCTACGAGGGAATATAACAATGAAAAAGAGGTACGATCCTAGCAAGCCGCTATAACGTTATTTTAATTACCCGCGAATTAACAAGAAGCTGCTTGTCATTTCCGAGATTA